GATTTTTCTGCTGAAATAATCTTTCAAAATATTGGCTTCTTCTGGTGTGAGCACTTTGCCAAGTACGTGGCTAGATGTTAACGATTCCACAATTTTTGCTGCCACTTCTGATACAGCCGGTGACTGCAAACAAAATCACTGCGCTTATCTGACTGAATAAAATTTACCTCAGCCATGAACTAAATATAATGACAAACTTTTCGAATTTTGCCCCACTACACAATTTTTCTCTAAGAATAATGTGTTGCCAGAAGCGCTCTGTTGACGGGACTCCCTAGAGAAGTAAACAAAACTTATTGGGAGCCCAGCCGGACCTCTTCATTCTTGTCCACTTCTTCATCTCCAGCTGACTTTTCTTTTTCCTCGATCTCGACAAGCTTCTTTGCCATATCCTCACCTATAAGTTTTTTTACAAGAGGTGTATGACTGAGATCAGCTGAAACGTGCTTGCGGGTATTAGCAATGAAGAAATGCTTTCTTACCAAAATGCGCTGACTTGTGATCTACGAAATGTATTCACATCGTTTACGCTACTGGGGTCAAAACTTTTTCTTTCACTCGCATACGGTAATTGTTCATTCCTAATAACACTACCTCCCTCAACAACAAACTTCGTTTAACCACTCATTCCGAAATTGGTTGGTTTGTCATTTGCTCACTCATTCAGTCTTTCACTCATTCCACTTCACATTCATTCGTTCGAATGTCTTTTTATGCGGAAATTCACTTGCTAAAGTGAGCCAGCAATCAGTAGCTCTCGTCACGCTTATGCAACAAATAGTGGCCTCCTATCCATTTATTTCATAAGAATCAGTGTACCGATGACATCCTTATTCACTGTGCTGGATCCCTTGGTTAAATCCGTAGCAATAGATTGCAGTAAGTTGGTGTCGAGAACAATATCGTCATCCATCTGTTCGAAAACTCCTTTATCCTTTGACACTTCCATTGACTGCACAAGTGCTTCCATACGCGAAGGAGTGCACGCTGCTGCAGTACTACCTCATTACGAAAATTACATTGACTTTAACGATGAATTTAAGTTCAGCAAGCCTTGGCAATCTTTGATTTTCCCTAAAGGTCTATTTCTGTGCTTTGCTTGCATTTACGCAAACGAACCCTAAAAAAAGTCTGTGAGTATGCGCCTGACCCGGTATTTCAACATCACATTCAGACAAGCAAGGGGAAATGAATTTGTCCTGGGCAATGTACGGACTCAGAAACATAAAATTGTGTTTGAATCGTTTAGAACAACAAATGTAGAAATGTAAATAGAGCTGAAAAGAATTAGGAATAAGAAGGCCACGGTGACGGAAAGAATATTAATAATGGACCGCACGGGCTACCCGTGCGAAGATGCGTTTTTTTGCACATATTTCCGCAGTTTTGGTCGCTACCTGCACCGGTTTCTCTGGCAAATGCTTCTAGCTCAACAAATTATGACTGGCCGCCAGAATTGTCATAAAATTTCGGCTTTCCTGGCTCATGAGTTAGCAACTTGCTTGAAGAAAATTTTTGCGGGCCCGTACGTGGGTGCCACGCATACCCGATGTCTGGGTTTGAGTTCGGTGAGGATTACGTGGACGGAGAATATATCCTCTTAAAATTACAGTCTTCTAGCTTTTCAGGTTCTCGAGTTAGCGACTTACCCGTGAAAAACTTTGGTGAGCCCATGCGTGGGTACCACGCACACCCGAGGGCTGGGTTTCGACTCATCAATACCTGCTTGGGCGGGGAGTATCTCCTTAAAATTTCAGCTTTCTAGCATTTCAGGTTCCCGAGTTAACTTATCCGAAAAAAATTTTGGCGGGCTCGTACGTAGGTACCACGCGGATAAGGGCGCCCGTTTTGAAGATGGGGGCCCGCTAATGCATGTAGGTTAAGTTACCCAAGTTTCAGCCTCATAGTTTTTGTTGGTCTCGATATGAAAAATCGGTACAAACGCGCAGCGCACACACAGACACACA